AGAAGCGCTATCCGACGTATGTATTCTCACTGAAGAGTACGCGCTTTCCTTAGCTGCTGAAGTCGAGGAAGGTGAGAATTTTGGTGTTCACCTTGAGAATCTCGGTGACCAGCTTGTCGCTACTAGCCAGCGGATCAACGTGCTCGCGATCGTGGCCTTCGTGCTGTCAGTCGCTGTCCATACCAACGCAAAGAACTACCTAATGACGACCCCTTGGTTACCTCGACCACCACGACAATCTCGACGTCAAGAGGGTGCAGGTGCCTCTACAAGCTGACGTGAATACTGCAGGGGTCAAACGCCGCAGCACCAGGGATCCTAAAAGCGGCCATGGGTAGAGTGCCGAACCCCGATGTGGACTACATGGGTCTTGCCAGCCATGATACGCATGACATCGACCTCCTCACAGCTACCGATGGTCAGGTAGGTATCGCCGTGCAATAACTTGGTAGCATCATCGACATTCAACCCACCCCACCTCAGCCGGAAGTCCGTATAATGCTAGAGGTAGGGTTAGCCAACCTAGTGCTCGGTGGTCTAGTCTGGCGCGATACTGTTGTTCAAGTTTACTCAAAACCTCGTGCCGCTGAAGCCGGGGTGCATGTAGGTGATCATTAGGACATCCGACCTGTCGATTAGATTATATCGAGGGGCTGATGGCTTTTGTCATCAGGGCTCTCTGCGTAGACCGCCATGTCCAGATCTGGGCGGCCGTCTTTATGGTCTTGGTAGCAGGGTTATGAGAGGCAGCTTCTTGTAGCCAGGAACATCAAGAGCGTACTTGGCCTCGCTACTGTAGCCGTACACACCATGAAGCGAGTGGGCGAGGCGATAAAGGTGGCGACTAGCAGAGCCTTGCACAACAAGTATACCATAAAGTAGGCGTTAGGGCTGCCACCGTAGAGGTCCTCGAAGCGTCTGGGGAGAGTGCCTTATGCAGTCACTGGCGACAGTCCACGCTGAACGAGCTGCGGGACATGGTGGGGCAATGGCTCGTCGAAGTGAGAAACGTCCAGCTTGCCGCATATGAAGGACCTAATCGATGGCGTTGTCGCGGGTCCCTCCAGGCACTATCTTATAACGTGGACCTCAATTCGAGCTGGCCGGGCCGACCGTCGTGAAAGCGTCGTCTCGATTTTCGGGAAGTCCCTGCTTACAACGCCGGCGCCGGCGCTTGCTTGAGCAAAACTTGGCTGGGCCAAAGGAACGAAAGGGAGGAGAAGCGGGGAAATGACCGGGAGGTGAAGGGGAAGTGGGAGGGGCCAAGAGGGAACGACCCCAAATCTCCACATCCCGAGATCGCCCTGCAGGGTGTCTCGGTGTAAAGCTGCGCGGTCTTCGGAGAGTTTTAGTGCGAGAAGTGCTGCTGAACTCCAGCGCGTTGCGGGGGGAGCTGTGGCGGAGAGGGTATTAATGTAGTGCTCTGCAAAATAGATCTTGAGCAACCATCTGTCTTTATACTGAGCTTTCAGGCAGACCGATATCAAACCTGAGTTCTGAGTGCGTACGTTTCCCACAGAAACCAATCCACGGCCATCAGCAGGACATGGCTGCTACCAGCATCAACCCCAGGATCGAGGGACTCCGCCTCGAGCACTACCCCGCCACCCACCAGCTCGGCACACACGTCCTGCGCCCGCGGCTTTCATGGAAAATTGCAGGCGTGCCCGAGAACTTTGTACAGCACGAGTACGAGGTCGAGATCTCGCACGACGACGGCGACGACACTACCGGCCGCGGCAGCAGTGCGGCGTCTGAGCCTAGTCCTCCCTCGCTATGTTCCATCAAGCTGACATCGAGCCAGAGCGTGCTGGTGCCGTGGCCCACATCGGCGCCGGACTTGGCCTCCCGCGCGAGGGTCCGTGTCCGCGTGAGGGCTTGGGGCCGCAGCAGCAGCGGCAGCAGCAATAGCAGTGTAGCCTCGCCGCCGTCCGATAGCGTGGAAATCCCGTGGAGCGAGCCAATCAGTATCGAGGCCGGGCTGCTCGAGCGTCAAGAGTGGCAGGCCCAGCTCGTGAGCTCGCCGTGGGAATACCCCAAGGACAGCCCACAGCCCGAGGAGCTGTTTAGGAGAGAGTTCACTCTCGATTCGACAACTTCTCCAGAAAGCAAGAAGGTCAAGACAGCCCGACTCTATATCACTGCACAGGGTGTCTACGAGGCCGAGATCAACGGCAGGGTAGTCGGCGACCACTTCCTCGCCCCAGGGTGGACCGAGTACCGCAGACGTCTGCGGTACCAGTGTTTCGATGTCTCTGAACACATCCAGCAACAGCAACAAGGGAGGACCAATTTCATTGGCGTCCGGCTCGCCGAGGGCTGGTTCTGCGGCCGGCTGGGCTTCGACGGGGGCGAGCGATGTCACTTTGGCGAGAGACCGGCGCTTCTTGCACAGCTAGAGATTGCGTACGACGACGGCTCGAGGCAACTTGTTGTCACGGACGATTCATGGGAGGTTACAAAGGGCCCGACGTTGAAGACCGAGATATACGATGGAGAGAAGTACGATTCTCGTCTCGAGATTAACAGGTGGTCCGGGGGGCCACCGGCGGACCAGCGAGGGCAGGAGATTAAATCGTCTACGACACAAGTTGAGCATCAACCCAAGTGGGAGAAGGTCGCGTCAAAGGGTGCCCTGCCTGATACGGTAGCCCTAATTGCCGAAGAGGCTGAGCCCGTCCGACGAATAGAGACGATCCAGCCGATCAAGCAAATCACCACGCCCAGCGGTAAGGTCGTCCTCGACTTTGGGCAGAACCTGGTAGGGTACACGCGGATCAAGAACGTGAAGGGCCCGCGCGGCCACACGATCATCCTATCTCACGCCGAAGTTCTGGAAAATGGGGAGCTGGGTACTCGCCCGCTGCGCCTGGCCGAGAACCGCGACGAGTACACGTTCCGCGGAGATAGCCCTGCGGGCGAGTCCTGGGAGCCTCGCTTCACCTTCCACGGCTACCGCTACATGCAGGTCGATGGCTGGCCAGGCGGCGATAAAGACCAGGACCTGCTGCCGTTCTTCGAGGCAGTCGTCTGCCACACCGACATGTGCAAGGCGGGCGACTTTTCATGCTCCAACGAGCAGCTTAACCGCCTCCACGAGAACGCGCGCTGGAGCATGCGCGGTAATTTCCTCAGCATCCCGACCGACTGTCCCCAGCGTGACGAGAGGCTCGGTTGGACAGGTGACATTGCCATGTTCTCTCCCACGGCTTCGCTGCTGTACGGCTGCACCAACATTATTCGGGGCTGGCTGCGCGATCTTGCCGTCGAACAGGCTAAGCATGGCGGGATCCCGCCAATGGTCGTACCTAACGTCCTGCAGAACCATTTCATTTTTGGGAGTGTCAGGCCTGCCGCGGTCTGGGGCGATGCAGCCGTCCTGACCCCCTGGGCGCTCTACCAGGCCACGGGCGACGCCGACATTCTAAGAGAGCAGTACCAGAGCATGCTCGACTGGGTGGCTGCCATTCCGAGAAATAAGACGGGAAACACGCATTTGTGGGATGCAACATGTGGTCAGCTCGGTGTAAGTTTCTACAGCGGCCCTCTGACTTTGTCTGCAAAGCCGAAATCACTATAGAGAGTGGGATACCCGGCTAACAAGCTCCCATAGGACTGGCTCGACCCAAGCGCACCACCCGAGAACCCAGCGGGTGGCAAGTGCGACGCGGTCCTTGTCGCCGATGCCTTCCTTATCCAGACCCTCGACATCGTCTCCCGTACGGCGGCAGCTCTTGGCGGCCGAGAGGTCGACGCTGCCAGGTTCCAAGCCGAGGCGGCCGCCGCCCGGACCGAATTCGTCCACGAGTATATGACGGCCGCAGGACGGCTCATGTCGGACTCGCAGACAGCCTACGCCCTCGCGATAGTTTTTGACCTGTATCCCAGCGCGGAGCAGCGGCGGCACGGGTGCGATCGGCTCGTCCGGATCGTGCGGCGCAACGCATTCAAGATTGGCACGGGGTTCGCGGGGACGCCGTATATATGCGAGGCGCTGACGCTCGCGGGCCGCGCCGACGTTGCGTACGCGATGCTGTACAATGAAGAGTGCCCAGGCTGGCTGTACTCGGTGAAGATGGGGGCCACGACCATCTGGGAGCGGTACGACAGTATGCTGCCCGACGGGAGTGTGAACCCAGGCGAGATGACAAGCTTCAACCACTACGCGCTTGGGTCGGTAGCCCGGTGGATGTGGGAGCGGGCAGCAGGCCTGCGGGCTGCCGAGCCGGGCTGGACGAGGCTGAGGGTCTGCCCGGTCGTAGGCGGGGACCTGACGAGCGCGAGCGCAAGGCACGAGACGCCATTTGGATCAGCGGCTAGTAGCTGGGCGCTCTCTCCCACCGAGGGGGGCAAGTGCAAGGGCAAGGAGCTGGAGTTGGTCTTGACGGTCGTGGTGCCCCCGAACACAACCGCCGAAATTGTGTTTCCCGAGGGACCATCATCGAGGGAGCAGTCGACGGTGATGGAAGTCGGCTCAGGAACGCACGAGTTCCGCGTGGTTATTGACAAGCCGAGCTGGCCAGTTGAGCCAATTGGGATGTTCTGATAGACAAAATGAGCCAAGAGATTTCGGTATCTTTAAGACATCCCGTAACCTAAACGTGCCACACGCTTCCTCACAAATGTTTCTTGATAGCTAGTCGCGGCTGCTCCCTATTAGCTTCCACTTACGAGGAGGCCTTGAATTCGAAGACCTAGGCAGACATGGCTTTTGAGCGCGTCGTCTCTCACGACATTATTTATTTATTTGGTAACGTGGACGACGAAATCATACATTAATAATCATGATATTAGATTGAAGTGAAATGGTGAAGGTTTATTTCCAACCCTACGAATCCGAACAGTTCTCCAAATTGGAATAGGAGTTTATCTCATGGTGGTCCTACAACTCGTTGAAGCTCACAGGGCGCCCAAAGGGTCTCTATCATCTATCGACACCACTAGCATTGCAAATTTTTGCTTTTCTGAATTTGAATAAACAAGCCGAATTCCAATAACCTGGGCTTGTGGTTTAGTGGTATAATACTCCCTTAGCATCAGCTTATAAATTGGGAGTGGTCCGGGGTTCGATTCCCCGCGAGTCCATCTCAAGCCAGCTCGTTACTGGCATTGTACCATATCTTTTTGAACCTATCTGGATCTCAACTGGAGCAGGTTTGGGATGCTGCGAATTCCCGGAGAAGAAACAGTTCTCTCCCGGGCGCACTTCCGGGTCGGGCTCCTCCATTTTTGTCTGGACGCCCAATGGAAGAGCCGCAAGGCTCCGGGCCCCCGCGTCTTACCTAACCGAGCTGCACTTTGTAAGGTTGTTGAAAACTCTATCCCATTGGCTACAGCGACAGCTTGCTTGTAGCTGTTCGTTGAAATCGCACTTTAGGTTCACAAGGATGATCTATCATATTTCATCTAGCTACAGATATGGCACTTGTGTAATAATTTGAATGAGTCTTTATGGTTTGCTTTTTTTATCTTGTTTCTTGGAGACGCAGTGGAGATATGGGTGTGGTAGGAAAACGAAAATTGAAAACCAAAAATACTCTACGTTTCTGGTCAAAGTATTGTCGCATCGCTATATTTTCTGTCTGCTTACGTGTAAAATACTTACGCGACTTGCCTCTGCAAAGCTGTCAGAGGGAGATGGCTTACGACATCCATAGCTTAACAACGTGCATTTGTACTTCATAACTTTAATCGAAGTAAAAACATACCACACCATAGACACGGCCATAATAGTGATGCAACTCGGACGCTGTACCCCGCCACCTGGAGGGAACCGATGAGGTCCCGCACGAAGTATCGGGGATGAGTGTTTCGTTTGACGCAAGCCATGTAATCAGTCTCCAAGGCGCGGCGCGGTCTTGGAACAAAGGCGTTCACAATCTATTGACCCTCTAGCCGTGGGGTTTCTTACAAGCGGCAAGGTATCTAGATACATGGCAGGATCCGTGCTTCCTAGCGAATAAGAACCTCAGTGGGTGTCTAATCTTCGCGATGTCGTTGGCGGCTTTTTCGACGCGCGCGCGACCCGTGGCCTGCAGGAAAAACCAGAATGTTGGACTTTGACCGTGTGAGAGTGCCCTCCAAGAGCCGGGCAGCAGCGCGAAGAGCGGGCACGACTGACGTGTGGCGGGGCACTTGCAGGCAGCTTCCGTTGCCGCACGCGCGCGCGCAGAAGCCGGCCGCCTCATGGTGGGGAGGCTGCGCCGCTTGGCCAAAGCTCCGCCTTCAAAGTTGCATGACCCTCTCCCGTCCCGCCTGCCCACCATGTCAGTACAGTGTAGAGCTACAGTACACTTGCAGCAGCAGCCGTCGGCCGATCCGCTGCCAACACCACTCCGTCGCCTGCACTAGCTGACCTCTTCCCGGACTCACGTTGGCAGACTGTGAAGCGGCCCGCTCGAGACGCAAGACGAGGCAACAGCCGCGCCAAACGGCCAACCGACGTCCCAGGCCTTCTTCTTCCAGTCTTCGAGCAGTCTTCCTGACCTCTCCACCACGCTGCCCTCACTCCGGCAACAACCCACCGCTGCCGTCCGACGCCTTCGCGCATCCGCACCCCAGCACGTACGAGCCCTTCTTAGCGACCTGCACTCGCTCAGAGGATTCTCGTCATCGCGGCGTCAGTCCCCGACGTACCTCACGAGCCACGCCTGCTCTACAAACTGTTCTGCTGGCCTCAGCTCTGGCCATCGTTCTTCTGCCCGTCCGCGACAGCCACTGCCGCCGGATCTCGACCCGTCCCAAACTTCGATCCTGCACGGCCACACCCCCCACAGCACACCCGACTCTCCGCGCCAGAGCTCACAACATACCTCGGCGTCGGAGGGGCAGTCCATGCTGTCTAGGACCCCCTCAACATCCTCAAACTGTCGTCATCTCGGCTTACATCGGTCACGTAGTGGAGGAGGAGCAGGACTCTAAACTTCGTTCTTCTGCGGCCTCGCCGCCCCGGTCTTCACAATGGGCAAGATAACCAAGACCATCCAGCCGAAGCACAAGGAGACACTGGTAAGCTCAGCGCGACCTTTTCATGGCTGAAAGGCTTCCATACTGACCTCGACCACTCTCTGCAGTCTCCTTGGCTCCAGCAGTTTGTCGACAATGCAGCGACGACCCCACTCAGTACCTTGCCTCAAGTGCTCGAGACATTCCCCTCTCGCTGGCCGTTTCCCCGGGGAGATCTCTATCACTGGATTCCGCTCCTCAACAAGTTTGACGACATCCTCGAGCAGTTCTGCACTGCTTACAGACTGGGCGATGGACCTCAAACGAGAGACTTTAGCCGCGAGGTTTTGATTCAGGCGGGTGACCTTAGTGAAGAGACTGATGCAACACCAGACAATGCCAAACTTGACGAGCTTGGCTATCGCGAAGATGGCGACGTTCAGCTCGTCATCGCGATTCTTAACTTCACACAGATGCTGCTTGATCACTGCGGAAACCGGAGCATTTACGCCAGCAGCTCTTCTCTCAATCACCTGCTCAATAGCACAGACTTCAATCTAATTTGTGCTGCACTGCATGTCGGCGTGGAGCTCGCTCAGCGCTACCAGGCCTCTGTGAAGCGTATGGGAATTCCGCCTCGGCAGGTTCACTCGGCTCTGCTGGCCAACCATTACAACATCGATCTTGACAGGGTGCAGCAACTTGCGCAGCCTTTTGTCAAGACACCCATAATCAAACCTACCAGTTCGGTGACATTCTCGACGCCGTCGCCCGCCATCAAGAACAAGGACAAGCCGCACAGCAGCGCCTCCCGAAACTCGGCCGTCATGTATGCCAACGATCTCTGTGCGATCGCCAAGTCAGATGCTTCGGAGGAGACCGGTATAGAGGCTCGTTGGGCTGGTTGGGGCGACATCAAAGTGACCTACTACCCGACATCCAGCACCGCCCAGGAGCCTGCACGACCACCGATATCAGAAAGAAGCCACTCGTCCTCGGCTATACCAGCTACGCCCACACCTCTGAGACGATCAAGCACAGCTATTAGCTCTAACACGACTCCACGATCGGCGCGTCAGACTGCTCTTGACGATAGCCCCGCATCGACCAGTGGCTCGCCGTTGGCAGGCCACGACGGCACTGCTAGTCCACCTAGCCAGAAGTCTTTGGAGATCCCTCAGTCATCAGTTGTGTCTACTCCTATCTTCGAGCTCCTTCAACGCGCGCCGGAGTCTATGCCGAAGGAAGCCAACTATGAATTCTTGAATCGCCTTCGTGTGGCCAAGGCCCTCCTTGGATCACATGAAACCCGGCAGCTCGCGCTAAAAGCCCGGTTGCTCGCCATTCAAAATCTTGCCTACATCCACATGGAAAACAGCTTCGCCGAGAAGGTCCTTCGCCAAGACCAAGATGAGCCGCGCAGGTTTCAGCTGATATACCAGCTTGCGGAGCTTATTCACCCTCCTTCTGATGGAGCGACGGTAGTGCCCCTTGATCTACAAGCTATTGCGCTGTCACTTCTCGAGGCAATCTCGGGCTACCCTTCGAAGATCCCAGACATATTCTCTGCCCTGAATGCCACAGTCAACCATGGTATACTCTTATATGTTATTCGGAAAGCAGTTGCGGAGATGAAGCAGGATGATGCGGGAAACCAGTGGACTGTCGAGGACGAATGGCGCGAGAATCTCTTCTCCCTCACGCTGCATATCACGATGGCTATGGCACACACAGCTCGGAGCACTCCAGAGATCATATCCGCGGGCTTGTTAGACGTACTGGTCGAAATCCTCAACCTACGCTCCAATATCGCAGAGCGAACCCATGGGACTCTGGTTGGTTTCCTGGATAGCCTCGTGTATAATGTTCAGACATCTTTCCAAACCCTTGTGGCTGCCAACGGCCTCGAGGCGATCACAGAGCTAGTGAATCACGAAGTTCGATTGGCCGAGACCCTGGCGACGAATGGGAATCGCACGCCAGAAGATCACAGGTCGCTTGTTGTCGACTATGAGATTCCATTCTACCAGCAGCAAAATCTCAAGTTCTTGCTTAAGTTTATCCACCACTCCATGTCGAATGCGTTTGCCCAGGGTGGCAACACTGATCGCCTCTTGCGGAACTTGGTAGATCAGTCCGAGCTTCTCGCCAGCATCAGGCAGATTGTTGAAAATGCGCCGAGATTTGGCTCTCTCGTTTGGACAAATGCTGTAACCATCTTGAGCGACTTTCTCAATAACGATCCCACGAGCTTCGCGGCCGTCTCCGAAGCTGGGCTTGTCAAGAGCTTCCTGAAAGCTATCACGGGAGTTGACGTTCTCGAGTCGCAGCCGACTGAAGGATCACAAGACGAGGTGGAGCCGACACAAACCGACCTGGCAGAAGACACTCGTCCACACCCCCCTCCACGAGAGTCTCTGCAAGGTAGAGTGATGGAGAATCTGGCCAGCAGCATCCTTCCGTCGACCGATGTGATTACTACGATCCCGGCCGTTATCAATGCCATCTCGCTCAACAACATTGGAATGAAGATGGTCGTCCAGTCACGTGTCTTTGACAGCTTCTTTGAGGTCTTCGAGAGCCCTAACCATGTTCGCGTGCTTGCGAATGATGCCGACCTTGCACAGAATGTTGGTGGGCTGTTTGACGAACTGGCACGCCATCATCCCGCTCTTCGGCCAGCCATTGGCAACGCAGTCCTGGATATGGTTGCACGCATCACGAATCTTGCCATCGTCAAGGGACAGGTAGGGTGGGGAGCTCAGCTTTGGAGCGCTTCTGACAATAGCAAAGGCAAAGACACAACGGCTACTGTCTCGGATGACGCAGATGTGGACATGGCGGATGCTATTATACCGGCATCCATGCCAGACTCAGAACCTCAGCAGCGCCCTAGCTCTCCGCGTGAATCGATATCGCCATACATCTTTGCCATCGCCAACTTCCTGTTGTCTTATATCAGCAACCCGAGTTTGAAGTCTCTGCTCATTTCAAAGGGTGGCGTAGAGCTACTCCTAGACTTGAGCACATCGCCAAGTCTCGTACATGACTTTGGCAACACGCATGCATCCAAACATCTGCAAGTTTGCATTTCGCAGCTGATAGAGACATCACCTATCATCGGCCTTCCATCTCTACTC